TTGATTTGCATGTTATTTTTAGATCTTTACATTTAAATTTTATTGAGACTCTGGACGGAAAATGCACATGGTCCACTTGCCATTCTCTGGCCAAATCTAACCACGATGAATACTCTCGTAATTTGACTTCTTCAGAAACTCCTTCCATAAGACCTCTTTTAAAATACATGACATCAGGGCAATTCATGGTTAAAATATTGTTTTGTTTCACTCTCAAAAACCAGTCTTCATATAACACCTCTTCATACAGGTTTTTCTTAAATGGTATACTTCTCATTACAGATGTCTTTGCAACAAATGGACCTTCTAAGTGATCACAGAGCATACAATCCAAAGCAGAATATTTGTATCCTTCTGTGTACTGAAGAAAGTAATTTTTGATCTGAGAAAGATGGCACCCTACTTTCCAATAACCACTTTCATTCCTGAATGCTCCACCAGCTATTCCTACAACATTTGCACTAGATATCACAAACACCTGTCTCTCCAGTCGTGCCAGTTCATCAAAATAAAATATGTCTCTCGCTACCAAAACATACGGTGTTTTAATTCTCTCCACCATTAAATTAAGTATTTTGCCTGGCCGTAGCATGTCTTCATGATCACTAGTTACTGTAATAATATTCTTGTACTTTGCTTTTATGGTTCGAACTGCTTCAAGAGAAGCTGTGGAACCCAAAATAACTTTTATATTAGAATTATAGGAGCGAATAGTTTGAAGAACATCACTTGTCTTGTTGATATCTTCTACTCTGTCCAACAGAATAATTGTAATAAGTTTATGGATTGGTTGCTTCTCCTCTTTTTTGCATGATGGTGATTCAACAAAGCCTGTTCTGTACCATGGGTATCCAAACAAAGTGCCATTGAAAACTTCTCCACAAGTATCTTGAACAGGTGGTGTAAGAGCAAGTAGGCTGTCTGTGCTAAGCGCATATCGAGGATCCAATTGCGAGACAATTTTGTTCAACTCCAGTAGTATTTTTGGGTTGATCTTCTTATCCTCATCTGAAACAATATACAAACTTAAAACAGTAATATACTACTATAATCTTCTTGAACATTCCTATTGGTTACCCTTTCCTTATATTTTATTCTTTATTACTGAGATTATTACATTATATCATCTGAAATTGTCTATATTTGGGTATTTCTTTGATCACAATTTCACATTTCACAAAAAACAAGAATTTATATTAAATATTAAAAGCACAGGAATCTCTTCAAGAATGTGACCTCATTTTTTGTATTAGAAATATTGTTATGTTCTATAAATACTGAGCTGTTTCGAAAAGTATACTGTTGTCTAGGGACGAAATCATTTCTCTTCTTTTTGAAATGCTTCTTGAAATGCAACACAAAAGGTTGGTCAAATATAAATAAATATGAAATTAGTTTTATTTATAATTACCACCATCACTACAAGATACTACAATGAAGAATTCATGTTTTGTTTTGAAGTGAAGGAATTGTTTCAGTAATGCTTCAGTAATGTTCAGGAGAGATGTTTAATGTTTATTTCATTTATTTCCTATTAGCCCTATTAGTCGTTTTATTTAAACCAGTGATATGCTAATTGAATAGAATATTCAGTCATTATACTTTATGAAATGAAATTTCCGATTTGATTGATATATTTTATTGTGAGGGCTGATTAAAAATTCACCGAAACCAGTGATCACATTCAATTCTTTCAACTTGTAAAGATCAAGCTACCTACATTGGATCTGCTTTGTCAACTCCCGCAACTTGATTGCAATTTCACTACGGAAGTTAATGTTTTCTTCAGCTGATAAGTTGACACTTCGGCTCGTGTCACGCAGATCTCCTAGGTACCAGTCGATTCCTATAACAAGAGAAGGTGAAGTTTGCCAGAAGTTTTAGTTCATTTTGCAAATCGAAATAACACATTATAGCTTATTTCTTTTTGCAGATTACACTGCTGTAGAACACAATGCTAGCTGAATAGAGAATTTTTGGACCCTTCTGAAAGTTTCGTAAAAATTAAGGATACTATTAACTTATGATCCATAATTGCTCAACTTTGGCATTTTTAAGCAGATGTGACAACACGATTGTAGCCAAGGAGATGCAGGTGGTTGGGCAAAAGTTCTCTTCCTGAGTCTTCTTACGTCAACCGTCTTTCATGTAAAATATATCAATAGGCAAATGTCACTAGCGCCATTAGTATATTGCTTTGCGAAGACGTCAGTAGAGAAGGGCCTTAGTTGTGCACGCGGGTTGACTGGAGGTCAAGAAGTGCAGAATATTGGATGCAGATCACCAAGCTCTTCTGAGACATAGGTTGAGAAAATGTCCATGCTTTTAGAAACCGAAATTCATTCACGAAAATTAACGAAGGACGTAGGGAGCAGGTATCCTTCGGAATGTTTCTTGTTGGAGCCTATGTCCACACGTATTTCAAGTAAAACATCAGCAAAAGAGCGCAATAGGCAATCAATCAACCAATGAAAAAAATGTTGAGCTTATGTTTTGGAGAAAGGCTGGAGCGTATCCGGAGGCGCGTAATATTCAGAATCCTGCGTAAAATGTCAGCGGCGAAGTCACGAAGCGAAAGGTAGGGACGAAGAGGAAATGCGAAAAGGAGAAAAAAAAATCCATAGAGACTTATAGCGCTCCTGGTTCGGGATGACGGAAAATCTCAAACCCGAAAATTACTTCCCGACGAGGCAACATGCAAACACTTGCGTTGCGTAGCTCAGCGTGATTGCAAAGGTTTCGCCCTTAGACTTTTAAAACATGGCAAACGCGATCCAGCTGTGGAAGGTGTTTGACGTAGTGCGTGCGCCAAGTACACTAGGAAAGGTGTCAAAAGAACTGGCATAAGCTTAATCAATTGGGCCGAATTCCGTGAATTCTCGCTCGTCGAAGTTCACTATAGTGGTACTGATGTAAGAGCAGTGAATGCCGCATTTGAATCGACTACACCTCCTGAAAATCACGTGAATGACGGGATAGAATGGAATATGCTGGAATGCCATGAGATGGAATGGGATAAAATGAAATGCGGTGAAATTAATGTTAGGATGGGAGAAGGGGAAGAGGGGACTGCTGCTTACAGATGCTTTCAAACATGTTTAACTTTTGCAGTTTTTAGAATTCAGTGTTCAAGAAATTGGAACCTGCGCCACATCGAGAATATGGCGATTGACAACACGGACCCACGAGCAGAATGGCGTTTTATTTATTACATACATGTATGTGTAAGTGTATGTACGTAAGGGGTAAGAACAAGGAAGAGGAAGGAAAGATCGAACGTGGTCCGTGGCCCGTTTGTTAGAGTACTGCTTTCGCAGTCGCATGACTAGCATTCGCCTGATGTTGAACGGAGAAACCACGGAAAACTACCGATCAGAACAGCCGGTCTCTAGAAGTCTCCTCTTGACAGCGACTGAAGTAGACATAGCTATCTAGCCAGTGTCGAAAATCCTGCCACCATCGGGACTCGAACTTAGGATTCCTTGGTCTGAGACACCTCAATGGCATCAGCACATGCCCTGTCACAGATGTGTTAGAAAAGCCTCCTCTGTGTCTCGTGAGAGTTCAAGTCGCGTGTTTATTACTATTACCGCATTTCAAGATGGACACAACGGTACGTAATACTCGGAAAGATCTGATTTTCCTTTTGAATATCATGCATAATTCAGGTTCTGGCAATTAATATCAAATAAACGTAACGATATAGATTTTCAAGCAAAATGCAGAAATATGATACTTATAAGTAAACAATATATGTCAAATATGCATTATAAAATTAAGTCTAAATAATTGTGTTTTATGTGAGTAGCACGTGAGCTTACTCTTTGGTTTCAGGGGGAAAATATGGATTTGCATTGATATCCGGACCCTAATTCACGACGAGGGTCCAGCCTACTTCATTAATTTGAAACATCATTTCGCCTGTCACACGCATAATTGCAATGCACTCAATGCCCAAATACTTTTTTAATTCGTTAAAATCGCTGCCAGTTGAACTACGGAAAAGAAGGCCTTTGTTGCTGCCACTCGTTCTGTGCTTTCGTTCACCCGTCGGAGCACTGCATCACTCAGGAATTTTCAAGTGGGATGTGCTCAGTACAAGACCGAAATATCATGGTCTTAAATTACTTCAGTAAGAACACATCAAATTACATTTTATAAATGTTTATTACAATAATGGAACTAGTAGTAATAGAGGAGAAGATTATAAAAAATGTCTCCTTTGTTACGTGTATTTTCAGAGTAACGAACCCAGAACAATGTATGTCACTATCTCTTTAGAAGTATTCAGTCAATTTGTTGCGTTGAGGGATACTTCCCACTACCCTACTACTCGCTAGTGATGGCAAATTTTAGAAAAACATCGATATATCACCAAAAGATTTTCGATGTCGATTAAAACATCGACAAAATGTTTAAAATATCGATGTTTTAATATGACAAAACATTTTGAAGAAAAATGTCCTGATTTTGATGTGACGCGTATTATGATCACACATCAATATTAGTGTGAAGTATATTCTGCCGTAAAATGAAATATCATCTTAATTTTCTAATCAATTGAAATTAATGAAGTGAACTGTTAATAATATAGTCAAGGTTTAAATCACAGTTTAACGATATTACCACGTACAAAATAATCACAAAATATTGCTTGAGAGATAGCGAATAACAAACGGTTTCGGGCTGCCTGAGGATCGACAACAGAGATTGTCAATGGCTGTTGACTGCGAGCAATTTACAAATAAAAGAGATACTGAAAATTTTATTTACATCATGAGATTTATTTATTTATTTTATATTTATTTATTATTATTTATTATTATTTATTATTATTTATTATTATTTATTATTATTTATTATTATTTATTTATTTATTTTGAAAACATATTTTTTGGACAAATATCGACCAGAAGAAAACAACGGCAAATCATCGATATTTCTCGTCGAAAAATCGATGTTTTAAAATCAACGATTTTTTTGCCATCCCTGCTACTCACCGATGTAGGCGGCGACCGTGAGGGCGGAGAGCAGCAGGAGGTAGCAGAGGGTGCAGGGGCCGCGCAGCCAGCACGGCCGCCCCGCGCGCTTCATGGCCGGATCCACGCGCCGCCGCTCACGGCGCCCCCGTCGCCCTTGCCAGCGCCGTCCGCGCGGCTGCGCTCACCTCCCACGCCGCGGCTCCGAATAGCACCTGCGCACAGACGCCATCACTGTCAGATGCATCACCAGAAGGATTTCGATGACGATGAAAACATCGATGTTTAGAATACGATAAAACAGATTGTATTTTCCCATCCTGATTCTATTTTTAAATTAAATGCCGATATATGTTATAGTTCCGTGACGTATTATATATGAATATTAATATTAATAATAATAATAATAATAATAATAATAATAATAACAATAATAATAATGTTTATCGAATGTTAAGAATGAAATAAACAACAAAGAACATAGTGTTTTGCTATTACCGCGTCAATTCACTTTCATTCATAAATCAAGGAAGTAAAACGTCGTACATTTAATAATGTAAATATGTATTAGTTTAACGTATATTCTGCCTTAAAGCACTCACTGAAAAGTCTTTAATTTTCTAATCAATATTCTATACAGACAAAGTTCAAAATGCAGTTTAACGATATTATCCCGCACACTATTATCGAAAAAGAAAGATTTTTTTTTAAAACATCGATGTTTCTGGAAAAATATATCGATGTGGAAAAACATCGAAAACAAGACATAGATTTTAATATATAAATGTTTCTGGTGGAATATATCGATGTTTTAAAAACATCGATGTTTTTTGCCTTCCTTAGTCAGGCGACTAGTGCGGGTAACCGAGTGACTGATTTCCCTCCTATTTCTTCCCCGAGTTTACATCAGAACCAGCCTTCAAGCCGTCTGTGCAGCGGTTCTGACTGGACGGCCCTAGGGTTCTGACGGTGATTGATTTTCGACACTGACTATTTAGCTCGGACGAAGTCAGTCCCTACCTGGTAAAGAATTCTACCGGTCGGCTGCTCCAGTCGGTAGTTTTTCATTTCTCCAAGAGAATGCCGGAGCAGCACTTTAACAAACGGACCATGGGCCACGCACTATCTTTCCTTCCCCTTTCTCGTCCTATCCTTTTCTCTTATACACACACACGTTTACATTTTTATGTACCTCGCTAGCATAAAAGTCGGGATGCCAGTTGAGAGCAAGTGTTTGTCCGGGTTTGGATGGTGTTCCCCTGTGGGGAGATACCTGGAAGATCATCTCTCGCAAGCCGATGTGTAGGTGTTGGATCCCACCACTCAGTGGGGAATCACTCGCCGCCACCTCTCGGGATAAAACATTTACTACGCAAATGGGACTAATGACTAAATCAGTTGATGTTGCCTGGATACATCATTGAAATCGATCAAACCAATTCATTCTGGCACGTTCAATCAGAGCCTTCCATTGAATATTGATCATAAAATTTAAATATCTCCCGCGAATACTGAGTTCTACGTACAAAATTCTGTGTTAGTATCTTAAATATAGAATGAAAATAATTCCGCGTTATCAGTAACTGCCTGAACGCATTCCTCAACATCCGAATCATACAATCAGAACGAGAACACGCTATTCACATTTAGTATCTTTTCGGTTCTGTTGTTCCCTTAACAATAACTTTTCACGGTACAGTAGCATTTTGCCTGTTCTCTACTTTTATCGCGAGGTGCGTTTAACTGCATTTCTAAGTGCCTTCTTTTGACACAACTAAAGTCATCAGAGAAAAATAGATAAGCACAAGCATACTGATGAGTGAACGAGTGCAATCAATTCCATGTTCTTTAGACGACAGCATGATGCAAGGGTACGGGCTTACTGCTTCTATTACAAGTCATTAAAACACATAAATGAAGCATTTTTTTAGCTTCCTAAAAGTATTAGTTATTTTTTCAAAAACATCTATTATTCGTATTTACGTGTTTCAATTCTTATCAATCCAGAAATTCAGACTGGATGCATCGTCAGCATTGTATATCTCCTTCACGGTGTAATAAGGAGATGAAAAGTAATTATTTCTGAAGTGGCGTGCTAAACATCACTTTTATTCTTGTTACTGTTTAAAATACAATAAATTCTCGTAGGCACGAACTCGATTAACATGAATTTCACCGTAACACGAATAAAACTTTGGCCCCGAAGAGGAATTACGGTTATATCGACATTTATAATAATCTGATAACACGAATTTTTATGACAGAAATCCGAGTATATCGGTCCCTTGAAATTTGTATTAATGAGGGTTTACAGTATGATAATTTTTGCAATATATTTATTTATTTTTCTCACTATTTTTGAGAGGTAAAGGCGAGGTAATTTATATTTTTTGGAATGCAGAAATGGTAATTGATAATTTCTTGGTAATTCCCTAATGTATTCATATTACAGAAAATACGATTACATCACCGTTTTATAAATAATATAATAATTGTGCTACTTATTTTTCATTTATGACCCTTTCAAAAATCTCTCACTGGCACTGCTCGCATGCTATGCCGTAGTTATGTCTGGCGTGGCCGGGCCATACATTAACATTCCGTACCTTCATTCCGAACCAGAAGAAAATTACGGCACATGATTGGTTGACATCTGTAAAAGGCGCGGCAGATTCAAATAATATACACAGACCGTGGCCGAGACCCGAGAAAAGAATTTTCATCGTGGGCCGAGAGCTGACTTCGGTTGTTTCGATACTGTATGTTCTTCGATCAGCAAACCAAAACTGCCCAATGAAAATAATGCTAAAGCTTTGTCATTTCCGTACAAAATGCCCAAAGTATTATAACCGTAATAAATAACCGTTATACCAATAAACATTACGCCAATGCTTTCCGAAAGAGCAAATCTAAACATACCCAAGGTAAGCTCTTAGTTTATACTCCAGTTTTTATTCGAATCTTCCGCATAAACCATTATCCGGCGCGACCAATCAATGACCGAAATTTTCTTCTGGTTTTGAATGAAGGTAAAGACTGCTAATTTGCGGCCGAGCCTGGCTTTTCAAACGACGTGTCAGTGGTGTTGTCACGTGGTTCGTGGCGTATCTGGTTAGCTGGTGAGCTGTTAAGACCTAGCCAAAATCGGTGCGGCGTTGAGGGACAGCACAACATGACCTTGCGCATGGTTAATAGTACTCCCAGTAAAATAACCGGAAGAGCTCTGAAATCGCGAACTCCAATTCAGATCGACTCTCATTGGCAGCACCACATGCCACAAGTTGCAATGTGGTGGGAAATGTTTAGGGTTCCACCCAAAGGCATTCAGCATCTCTGTTAAATACGTTATAAATGCCTGCGGTACTATCTAGAAATCGACAAATAGAAATAAATTTTAAATGCCTCAAAGTGAAATAGTCTCGTGAAGAAAACCTAAAATCAGTTATACACTATTCCTATGGAACAATAATCCTCTATTTAAAAATCCTCGTGCCACTGAAAATGAGGCATGCGGAGACAAAAAAAATCGCAAATGTCCTGGAATTCTTGCGTTTTGAGTTGACCCGACAGCATATATTGAAGGCTGGCATACCACTGGTAGGCTTCATTCCTTTTACTGCCTACAGACAATCTTAATTAAGAAATATCGGAACAAACCTTCTGCTAATATTGTTGTTGAGCGAGACTTAAAACGTCACTGCAATGTTTAATTAGTATTTATGAAGTCTTCTTGATAAAGTTGTTTAGCAATATTGTAATTAATAATCGTCAAGTTTATAACTTTTTCTTGTAGAAATTGTACACTTTTGAAGTGACTAAATTTTACACATCATTATAATATCATTTATCACAAGCAATAAGTTTCAATACAACTATTCTAGCATTAGATCAAAAGCCATTAAATTTTACATATTAACTGTGGAAACACTTGCACAAAAATGTCACAGAAAACTTTGAACACTTCACACTTGACACCTTACTTGCTTTACGTAGTAACTTGTACGTCGCCTTTGGTGAGGTGAACTTCAGTCCAGCCCTTTGCGGTTTAGTTCACCGTTCACCGTCTCTGTGGGGCCCGTGCTCGCAGCTCCTCAGAAATCGCCACGAAACCACGAAGATATTCCTCTTTCGAGAAAGGAGTTCTCATTCTTTGATACACGTCACCTATCACGTGATAAACAACACGGCGCTAGAGAAAACACGAATATTCAATAATGCGGACACTGCGGGTGCATTCTCCTGTATGTCTTGTATGACATATTGATACCTCTCAAGGTAAGTTTTCGTGATATAAAAGCATAAAGAGCTGCATTAAGTATTACCAACATGAACATGCAATATTTCAATACAAAAAGATGAAGTACAACTGTGTGTTTGTGTATGTGTATGTGTATGTGTTTGTGTGCGCGCGCGCCAAATGTTTAAAAGTATGAAAGTAGAACAATGCTTACATTGAATGGCGTTAATTTCAGGCACATTCTCAATTGAGAAACAATTTGATGCTGGCGTTCAAGTCGCAACTAGATTTCGTGGAGTGGGATACCAACAGATGACAATGCTACCTTTAAACTCTGATTCTCCCAACCTTGCCAGTTTTTCTTCTAGTTCGGGTTCATAGTTGTCGTTGAAGTAGTGTCGTTGAATCGTTGAAGTAGTTTCACACGCATTAATCGAATGATTACTCTTTCTCGAAAAATTGGTGCTACTATGTTATTTCTGTGTTTAATTTCGTCTGGTGGTGACAGCACTACCAGCGGAGAATCGCAATTTTTTTCTTTGGACTATGTTTTAGTTGCGCTTCGGCTTTGGGTCAAACAATGGTGATAAATTGATAAATCTCTAGTTCGGGTATATGAAAAAAAAACTCGATAAAAAGTCCTAATTTATAAAAATTGAGAAAAGAAACTAGCTGAAGCATTAATATCGCACTGCACTGTGCCTCCTAGTACTTTTGTGAATTTATTACATTTTATTAAAAACTAATATTCGTCTGCACCTATTTTGGAGCTGTCCCATTCTTTAACATATTACACAGGAATATTTAATTACGAGTATTATTTTTTATTATCGCTTGAAATGCTTGAGACTTGTTTCGGCAAAAAGCAATACAATAAAAAATGCACTTGCGGGAGGGCAATTGAGAAAGTGAGGAAGTGATAACTTGTTCACCCAATAGTTTGTATTATGTTGGTAGTCAATTGAGCGACTTGTCCTT